TTGTGGGTGGCTGTTTGTTGTTTCACCTATCAATTCGTGTCGATAAAGTATAATAGGGTAAATCCTGTATAGTGATTTATCCTATATAGTGCTTGCATAAAGCAAGTAGTGCATACATTTGAAGCTGTTATGTATCTTTGTAAGTCATTTTAAGCCCTCTTTTGAGGCACGCGCAAGCGCACGAACCAAATACACAAAATAATGTTCTTTTTAGCAGCATCATATGACCCCTTTAAGAATGGCCCCACCTCAAAAATGCTTTCTTTTTTCTTGACGAATTGGCACTAAAAAAAAAACCTTGTTGCGCATGCTCTAAACTACTTCCTTATTTCTTCTTCTGTTGTTTTGCTGCTCATTAGCAACATATTAGTGCACTGCTGCTTCTCACTGGTGTATAAATGTTATTGGTTCCTTTGTGGCTACTTTAATATTTTAAGTAAGCGTCACTCATAGCAGTAAGTAAATTGTTTTATTCTCCTTGAAATTAGCTGTAACTTGATAAAGTCTAGTAAAGATAACTAATTCTAAGTAAGGTAAACTATTGGATTTTACAGTGTACGATAATTTTATCAGTTTACCCAAGAAGCAAATTTGCATTGATGTGCAAGATATGTTTTCAAAGAATTTATATTGAATTAAAATTGGTTTGATGGTAATGGAGATTTTTTTTATGACTTTAGGTATTATGAGAAAGAGTCTGCAAACCAACCTGATCATCTTCTCTCTGGCCATGTTGAACATTCCTGATGACTACAAACTGGAGCAGTAATAGAAACCGTGTTTTTGACACTCAAAATATGTGCAAATGTGATTCCACATTATCTGCTCTGTCACTGATATTCTTGGCTTTGTTTTAAATGGCCGACAAGCAGATCAGGTGAGTTTTCTTTAGAGGGAAATGGCTAATACTCACTAGAGTAAAAATATAGTTAATACCTTAGAACGGAAATATAAACTATACAAATACACAAAAGCAAGATAGTATTTTAACATTAAAAAAGTAATCCACTTTATGTTTAATGTGATTTCTTGTATTATGTGATGTAACAAACCTCAGAACTCAGATGCATTTGTGTTAAAGTTCTTTAATGTTTCAGGCCACTGCTACTTGATTTGAGTCTTTTGAATTACTTTTACTGACAATTTATTAATTTAAAAAAAATATTATTTAATTTTGATCAATTAACCCTATAAAGCCCACTCTATCATCGAATTTCTAAGGCCTCTAAATGATCAACATGTTCAAAACTATTCTTAAAAAACCCTGTTGTACACAATCTACATGCCTTCTGTCATGATTGATAGGTTATACTTTGTAGCAAGTAAAAGGCCTTTTAGTGTAATTGTACTAACGTCCACATTTTTGCTGTGAAATCTTTACTGATTTTTAAAAATTTAATCTTAAGTATAACTTTTATGTTGTTAGTAATATTTCAAGATGAACACTTACTCAACTGATGCAACTGACATTTACTTGTTTATCTATACATCATTTCTTTGGTAAAAAATCCTGTTAAAATGTGAGTATCAAAAATGATCCATCAGGTTTTTGAGGAATATTAATTTGTTCATCTCTCAATCATTGTATTGTATTGCATGTTTTTCCCCCACAATAAATACTACAGAGCTTTAATCAAAAGTAAGCATTTAATATCTTACTAAGACATATTATTGGGAGATACAGAGTGGCATCTGATATGTATATGCATTTAATCTAATTGATTTACATTACAAACTATCAGAATTTCTTACTTTTTGGCCATATAAATATCAGCAACTGCACCAAATTTCATATTTTGCTCAGTTTGAGCCTCTGAATAAAATTTAGGTGTTTTTCCTCCATATTCTTACTTATTATATGAGCCATAAAAGCCCAATGCATCAAATCTGCAACAAAAACACCTATGCAAATTTTTTTTTTTAAAGATTTTGTAAAGGGTTAATAAACTTTTTAAAAATCCTGACTATTATTTCATATGTCAGGCTCACAAGGTTAAACCAGTTCATTTAGATGTTTCAACATGCAGCGTCAGTGCAGCTGTTTTAATTAGTTTATTGTATAGAAGATAACTTATTATATATGTAGATTTTGAAAACAGTGCTTTTACAAATAAAATTAACCTCTCTTTTTGGATGGCATGGTTTCTTTTGCACACTGGATTAATCTCTGATGTTGTTTTAGTCTGCCAGCTAAACTCATCAGTGGAGGCATTGCCGGGTTAATTGGTGTCACTTGTGTGTTTCCGATTGATCTGGCAAAAACTCGCCTCCAAAACCAGCAAAACGGATCTCGCATCTACACTAGCATGTATGTTTCCTGTTCCTTTTAATCGTCTGAGCAAATGAATGCCTGTGCTTGTGTTCATGTATATATGGGTGAGGATGTGTTTCATTCACAGGTCTGATTGTCTGATAAAAACCATCCGATCAGAAGGATTCTGTGGGATGTACAGAGGTAATGTACTGTTTCACAATCTGTATAGATCATACGGAATTGTTCATGCTTGGAAAAACTCCATTATCTATCCCCCTTTCTTCTTAATATCCCTCCTTCACACTTTCATTTCTAGGAGCTGCGGTTAATCTGACTCTGGTAACTCCAGAAAAGGCCATCAAACTGGCTGCCAATGATTTCTTCAGACACCAGCTCTCCAAGGATGAGTGAGAATAAAAACACCCTCAACTTCTTACATGAGGGTTATGGGGGAAACGACAAACAGAGCTTCATTTTGACTTAATTGTCGTACTTAAATACTTACAATTGAATTTGGAACTGTTCAAGAAATTGAGAGACATGACATTTAAAGGGACAGTTCATCCAAAAATGAAAATTCTGTCATTAATTACTCACCCTCATGTTGTTCCAAACCCGTAAGACTTTCGTTCATCTTCAGAACACAAATTAAGATATTTTTGATGAATTCCGAGAGCTTTCTGACCCTCCCATAGACAGCAAGGATCCTTACACGATCAAGGTCCAGAAACGTAGTAAGGACATCGCTAAAATAATCCATGTGACATCAGGGATTCAACCGTAATTTTATGAAGCTACGAGAATACTTTTTGTGCGTAAAGAAAACAAAAATAACGACTTTATTCAACAATTCGTCTCCTCCGCGTCACCCTGGCACCATTTTGGAGAGTATCACATACGTAAACAACGCTTTGATCTGAACGTAAACAATGTGTCCGCGTACATACGTTGCATACGTTGTTTACTTATTTGATGCTCTCCAAAATGGCGCTTTCCGGACCTTGATCATGTAAGGATCCTTGCTGTCTATGGGAGGGTCAGAGAGCTTTAAGAATTCATCATAAAATATCTTTATTTGTGTTCTGAAGATGAATGAAGGTCTTACAGGTTTGGAACGACATGAGGGTGAGTAATTAATGACAGAATTTAAATTGTTGGGTACACTATCCCTTTAATTTAAAAGCATTTTAAGTTAAATCCTGAATTGCAAACCTGATTTACAACATTATGGGCCCCCCCTCGCCAAGGGCCCCTGTTACTCTGTTCCACTATTACCCCCTGTCCGACGCCCCTGATTATTTACATGAATTCAGTTGCCATACATTATACTCCAGATCATTTCTAAAGGTAGTTTACAATATGAGAAGAATTCTTTCATTCTTTCATTTCAATACTATCTAAAGTAAAACTTCCATCTTCCACAACATAATTGTATTTAAAATGTATTATAGGTTATTTAAAGGACTTCTCAGCTACATTTAATGAACAACAAAGAATTAAAAAAAACTTATCAATAGAAAATACATGGTTTGGCCAACAGAAATTGTAATTATAAACACAACTTGCAACAACCTAACAATTACCCTAAGAATTACCCTTTTGTCCAACCAAAGTTCAAGAATAAACCTTTATTATATATATATCAGTATTCATTAAAATGGATACATTTGCTCATTTGCAGTGAATGTGCTCAGCAGTGGGATGTAATGGAGGTCTCATAACTTATTTAACAGTTGCACTGATTTAGAAAGAGCAATGCTTTTTTAATTTATTCCTCTTTTGCTCGGGGCATAATTTAGGTTGGATGAAGTCTCAGATCCACTTCTTATTTTTTAAGGGAATGAATCCACAGAGCCGCTGGATTTGCTCACAGAGCTGATCTGATAGAAGCCACCCATAAGCTTCTGCAGTATGGATAGATATTGCAGTATAGCTCAGTACACCTTGAATACCTGGAGCTGTGGTGAGCATCTCTGTGGTGACTAATAGCTAGATGGCTAAATTATTGATTAATAGAGTCCAGTAGACTGCAATGAACCGATGAATTATTGAAATAAGTGTGTGAGTGTGTGTGTTTGGGAGTGTGATGTCATCACACGATGAGGGTCAGACCCCAAAGCTATTGTTTACAGAGAAAACGGGCTTATCATCGTCTAAAAATAATGCTCTCTTCCTCTCTTTTTATCTTTCTGTTTTTCTGGCTCTCTCCCAGACGGAAGTTGACGTTGGTCAGAGAAATGTTAGCTGGCTGCGGTGCTGGTACCTGCCAAGTTAGTGTCTCTGCTGCACTCATAGGACCCACACTCCTCACACACACAAAACAGCTTATTTTTCTGAAATTAATGAGTTTCTTAAAGTGATGTTCTGGCTTAAGTACTGCTAAGAAGGAACGTGGTGCACCCAAAATGCAAATTTGGCATTGCAAAACACTCAGATGTTGGGCAAAATGTTCAAACGTGTGTTTTCCAGATCTATAGAAATATAGGAAATAATAGTCAGAAAAAGTTTGGGTCTGTAAGATTTGAATGTTTTGGAAAGAAGTCTCTTATGCACACCAAAGCTGCAATTATTTGATCAAAAATGCAGTAAAAACGGTAATATTGTGAAATATTATTACAATTTAATATAAATGTTTTCTATGTTGATATATTTTAAAATGTAATTTATTCCTGTGAACAAAGCTGAATTTTTAGCATCATTACTCCAGTCTTCAGAGTCACATGATCCTTCAGAAATCATTCTAATATGCTGATTTACTGCTCAAGAAATATTTCTTATTATCATTGTTGAAACTAATTGTTATGCCTAATATTTTTTTATTATTATGTTGAAAACAATTGTTCTGCCTAATATTTTTTTTTTGTGGAAACCATGATACATTCTTTTTTAGGATTTTTTTTTTTTTGTTAATGAATAGAAAGAGCCAAAAACCGCATTTATTTGAAATGTTAATTTTTTTGTAACAAAGTAAAAGCCTTTACTGTCACTTTTGATCAATTTAATGCATCCTTGCTGACAGAAAAATCATTTATTTCTATATTATTAATTCAATCTTACTGACCTCATTTCAAAAGAACAATTTAGATGCCTTTACAGCTTAAATAACACACATTTGTATTGAGCAATCCTCACATATCTGCTTTTAAACTGAAATGTCTTGAATGGTATTGGTAACTTCTGTCTGTATGCGGTTTGTGTTTTGGCAGGTGATTGTAACCACTCCTATGGAGATGCTAAAGATCCAGTTGCAGGATGCCGGCAGAATAGGTAAAAGATAGAAAACTTTCTCATGTCCGCTTATAGTGTCTTGTTGATGATAGGGGCGCATAGTATCATATACTCATACTATTCTACAGTGTGCAATATGTATATCGTGTGCAATATACAAAATGTCTGCATGCACGGAATACTGGATGATGAACTTCATTTGGCAAAATGTGGCATGCACAACAGAGCACACTGTAATGTTGCATCCCAGAATGCAATGCACTTATCTTGACCTTGACCACAATATGAACCATGGATGATAACAGGCCTCTGCTTGCTGAATTAAACATGCATTGTAGGCATGGGTAGCAGAGAACATGAAATGTTGCATATACTGCACCATATACATTCAATGCAGTATGCAGTGTGCAACAGTCTGATTCCAAAAGTAGCATGGCATATGCATAAAGCAAGAACTAAATTGAAACTAGTTAGAATTGAAACTTTAGCATGCTACATTGTTGTAACAAGACCTAGTTTGTGTTGCATGTTTAATTTAGCAAGTGTTGTCTAGTTATTCTTGGAAATAAAAATTTATACTTGTATTTCAAGTCTCTTATGCTCACCAAGACTGCATTTAATTACTAAAAACACAGTAAAAACTGTAATATTCTGAACTATTAATGCAATTAAAAAAAACTGATTTCTATTTGAATATATTTTAAAATGTAATTTATTCCTGTGATCAAAGCTGAATTTTCAGCATCATTACTCCAGTCTTCAGTGTCACATGATCCTTCAGAAATCATAATAATATGCTTAAGGATTCTTTGACAAAAAGAAAGTTCAAAAGAACAGCATTTATTTGAACTAGAATACTTTTGTAACATTATAAATGTCTCTAAGGTCATTTAATGTGTTTAATTTAATGTGAATAAAAGCATTAATTTCTATAAAACTAATTCAAACTTTTGAACAGTAGTGTATATAAAATAGTATGAGTACTATGCTATTCTGACCGTATCTCATGTCTTTGACAGAGGCCCAGAGGAAGCTCATTGGCCAGCATGCTGGAGGAGGCGGAGGCAAAGTGAATGTTGTTCAGTTGAAGTCTCCCACGGCCCTCCAACTCTCCAGAGATCTGCTGAAGGACAAAGGCATCGCTGGTCTCTATAAGGGACTGGGGGCCACTCTATTACGGTAGTCCAACAGAGCCACTCAAACTGTGGGACGCATTTATCCATAATGTGCTTTCTCTCCATCCTTTATCTCACACTGGTGTGTTCTCCCTCAGGGATGTGCCCTTTTCCATCATCTACTTCCCACTGTTTGCTAACCTGAATAGCCTGGGCAGGAGGAACGCTGACGGTTCAGCTCCGTTTTACATCTCCTTCCTCGCTGGCTGTTTTGCAGGCTGCGCCGCAGCTGTTGCGGTCAACCCTGTGGACGGTGAGATGGCCTATATGATGTGTGAATGGGTGCATTTAATGAGGTGTACTCCATTTAAAAGTTTGGGGCAATATGTTTTTTAAATATATATTTTTGTCTTATATATTGTCTTAAATATATATTAAGTGTCTTATTTTGACCAAGGCTGCATTTATTTGATCAGTTAAAACAGTGATATTGTGAAATATTATTGCAATTTAAAATAGCTGTTTTCTATTTGAATACATATTACAATTTAATTTATTCCTGTGATGCAAAGCTGAATTTTCAGCATCATTACTCCAGTCTCCAGTGTCACATGACCCTTCAGAAATCATTCTAATATGCTGATTTGCTGCTCCAGAAACATTTTTCAATGTTGAAAACTGTTATGCTGCTTAATTTGATACATTTTTCAAGTTTCTTTGACGAATAAAAATGGAAAAGAACAGCATTTATTTGAAATATATATTTTTGAAACATTATGTCTTCACTTTCACTTTTGATTAATTTAATGCATCCTTGCTGATTAATAGTATTAGAAAAGTATTATTTCTTTAAAGAAAAAAAAATTACTTACCCAATACTTTTGAATAGTGTTAAGTGTATATAACAACAAGAAATACAATTTCACGTTGACCAGAAAAATGAAATGGGCCAAAAGCCAGGATTGGATATAATACACACAAATCATAAAAAATATGGCAATGTAGTAAATGTTTATTTATTTGAATCCTCAATGTTTACTCCTCACAAATGCTGTTCCTAAATCTAGTTAGCTGCCTTGCTGTCTATGTCGTATACAGCATCTTAACTGAAATGGAACCTCATAAGTGACTGATTTGGGACACTCTACATACGTAATAACTCCATTCATTATGCAGATAACGCTCCTGACATGAAGCACACAGGAGATCCGAGTTGATTTCAGTAGAGTGTAGTGTTAGCTCTCTAAGCTAACAACACATGGCAAGCATAAAAATACATAACACAAAAATATCAGGTGAAATAACTTTTATATTTGATTGAACTATTTTACTATATAAAATATGTTTTATATTTTTTAATAATATACACACACATGGATATAATAAAATATAAATAATAATATAATTACTTTTAATATTTTTTTCGTTTAAATATAATAATATGATATAAATAATTAATTATATAAATACATATTTATATAAATAATAATATAAAAACATTTCTCTCTCTCTTCATATATACAAATATTATGTAAATATGTATATTGTCATATTTTTATACATGAAATATAGAATAAAATGTTTACACATCAAATGTAGTTTTGTCAACCATGCCAAATGTTATTGAGTGATCCCATATTTAATAAAAAATAATTGCATTTCATATTAAATCCATAGGGGGCACAGTTTGCTCCTGTATTTTAGCATCACCCAAACATTTCATAAGTAGTCAATTACATTTGAATATATTTTGCCTACAAGAGTCAGTGTTAAAAATTACAGATTAGGATGAAAAAATGATGTGTGTAATGGTGTGTGACACTTTAGTATGACAAACATTCTTACAGCAGATGCAATTAAGTCATATGTCAGTGAGCCAAAATGAAAGTGACTGCATCTCAAATGCATTTTAGCAGTGACTATTTTATACATAGCAACAACCTAAGTATCTAAATTGGCAAGTGTGGTATTAATAGTAGTAGTTTCCTTTTTTCCCCCTAAAAGAACCATAATAAAATCAGCAAACATGATATCATATCATCAGTATTATTACAGCGCCACCAGTATGAATAAGGGGGGACAGTATTTTGTGAATGCAGACTAATGGTTTGAATGTGTGTGTTTGTGCTGCAGTGGTAAAGACCAGGCTTCAGTCTTTGGCCCGTGGATGTCATGAGGACACTTACAGCGGAGTGAAAGATTGCATCAGGTAAAATTATTCTTGCATACTCATTTATCAAAGTATTTCCATAACATTGTTTCTTATTTTTGTCCTCTGAACATCTCATCATCAGTAAGATTCTTTGTCACGAGGGCCCCTCTGCGTTCCTGAAAGGCTCGTACTGTCGCGCACTGGTCATCGCGCCGCTGTTCGGCATCGCACAGGTGGTGTACTTCCTGGGAGTCGGGGAATTTGTTCTCAGTCTCCTGCCTGGACAAAAACGCTGAATCTGTACTGTAGATGAAGGCGCTGATCTTGGAACAGTGGCTTGTATTTGGACTGCAGAAGTTTCAGATCAGCTTTGAGGACCGGTTTCGTCATCAGCTTCATCTATCAGTACAGGACGACAATAGCTCTGTTCCAAAAGCTAGTGAGCACTGGGTTTTGGAGCAGAGCCGATGTTTCCTTTTTTAGTTGTTGTTTGTAGGCCACACTTGGTTCCATGCTAAAGCTAAAATCAACAGATAATTATTGCTAAATTACACAGATTTAGTTAATTGAAATTGTGTCATGCACCAAAAAACAATATTTTAACTGAAGACAATTTGTTCGATTTTTTTTAGCAAGGATGCATTGAATTGATAAAAAGTCATCACAGTAAAGACATGTATAATGTTACAAAAGATTTCTATTTCAAATAATTGCTTTTGGACTTTCTATTCATCAAAGAATCCTGAACAAATATGTATCACCGTTTCCACAAAAATATTAAGCAGCACAATTGTTAATAATAAAACACTGATAATAATCAGAAATGTTTCTTGAGCAGCAAATCAGCATATTAGAATGATTTCTGAAAGATCATGTGACACTGGAGACTTTATGAGATTATGAGATATGAGATTATGAGATTAATTACAAAGTGTTTTACTTTTAAGCTTACTGAAATCAAGCACTGCTGGTTTCCTCAGTGCTGTGTTTTATTGAATTATATTTACCTTGGTCTTATCAGAACCAAAAGGGATGCTTTCTTTGAGCTTGTGTCTGTGCATTAAAACATAATCCTTTGTGATTTATGTAAACTATGTACAGCTAAGTCTGTCTTCAAAACACATTTTAAATGAAGTCTGTATGTTACAGACTGAGTTAACTGCAGAACTTGTTGCTTAAGGTTAGAGGTTTAGAACAGAACCCTGAGCAGAATATCTGCAATGCAAAAATCAATTACTTACTCAGTATTTTTGTCCTGTTTTCCAGTCCAAATATCAAAACATTCTTAAATCAAGACATATTTACTTGAGAAGCAAAATTACTTAAGATACTCAGTCTTGTTTTTCTGAACAGTGTATCAGAATTAAGCAAATTTACGCCTAAAACAAGAGTTTCTTTTTCTAACCCCATTGGCAGATATTTTTTATTGTTTCAAGCATAAACTCTCTTAATTTTTCAGAAAACAAGACTTCTTATGTCAGTTTGCCTCTCAAGTAAAGATGTCTTGATTTAAGAATGTTTAGATATACTGCAAAAACAGAGAAGAGAAAAACACAGAAAGTCAGAAAATAATTTTCAGTGTGAGGAATGTTAATACATTTCTGCCTTGCAAGCACATGTACAACGAGCGAACAGAAGGGATTGTGGGCAGACATGCTGCTAACCACTCAAGCAAATCAAGGTGGCAGGAGAAATGCATTGATTGCTGGATATGTGATTGTATCTGCAGGGGCTTTAGATCACATTTAGTATTCGGACCACAGAGCTCCCTTCCATGGCAGGCTTTTAATAGCTTTCACATCGTACTGTCCAAAGAGATGTTTTGAACTCTCCACCGGTTGCTATTTTCATCTGTGCACTATAGTGGCCCGGCCATCTCTCTATTTCATTCTAATCTCTGTCATCTCCTCTCTGCTCTAATCATACCTCTCTGGCCTCATCTCTGAAAAATTTTCTATCTCCCTGGTGGCCGCTGTTATTGATTTTTGTATGTTTTGTGCATTGGGAGTATATTTCGTCTCATAGCATAAGAGCAGCAGCGCAAACTTATTCTGGGAGATCCATTTCATCTTGATATCATAGTCGTGAAATGGCCGAGCTCGAGGCGCTGATTGCAAATTCGCAGGAAGAACACACAGAGTAGCGGAGTATACATGCAATGCATGGACAGCTCTAATAACTGCATTCATGTCTTTGCCTGCACCTTGGGGAATATCTGTCTGCCGTCTACATTCTCCTCTGATTTCTGCTCATAATGAAGCCAGATCTTTTTATGTGCAGCCAGTGAAGTCACTTTGTAACCGAGATGCAATAGAGGAGCTGGGGGATTAAATCTTCACAAAGGGGTTCATATGAGAGATGCATTTTTTAAAAGTAGAGCTTGTAAGTGCAGTCTCATTTACCGTTATGTTGTGAAGGTTCACATGCGAAATCCAGTCATTCCAATAGGAATCCATGCATGTGAAATCCAGTCATTCCTATAGGAATCCATGCATGTGAAATCCAGTCATTCCTACAGGAATCCATGCGTTCTAAATCCAGTCGTTCCAATAGGAATCTGTGCATGCAAATCCAGCTGTTCCAATAGGAATAAATGCATGTGAAATCCAGTCATTCCTATAGGAATCCATACATGGGAAATCAAGTCGTTCCAATAGGAATCCATGCATGCAAAACCTAGTCATTCCAATGGGAATCCATACATACGAAATCAAGCCGTTCCAGTATGAAGCCATGTGTGCTAATTCCAGCTGTTCCAATAAGAATCCATGCAAGCAATACCTAGTATTTCCAATAGGAATCCATGGATGTGGAATCCAGTCATTCCTATAGGAATCCATGCATGCAAAATCCAGCTGTTCCAATAGGAATCCATGAATGTGAAATCCAGTCATTCCTATAGGAATCCATGCATTCTAAATCCAGACGTTCCAATAGGAATCCATGCATGTGAAATCCAGTCGTTCCAATAGAAATTCATGCATGTGAAATCCAGTCGTTCCAATAGGAATCCATACATGCAAAATTCAGCCGTCCAATAGGAATCCATGCATGCGAAATCCAGACGTTCCAATAGGAATCCATGCATGTGAAATCCAGTCGTTCCAATAGAAATTCATGCATGCAAAATCCAGCTGTTCCAATAGGAATCCATGCATGCAAAATCCAGCCATTCCAATAGGAATCCATGCTTGGTAGAATCAAAGGAGATTCCTGCGGACAATTTACCTATAGCTCAAATCTCGGGAACAGTGTTGTAGATTATGCCAAATCAAATATAAGCCCTTCCCATTTCAGTGCATTTACCGTCAAAGCTGAACAGTGTTGTAGATTATGCCAAATCAAATATAAGCCTTTCCCATTTCAGTGCATTTACCGTCAAAGCTCAGTCACCCCTGTCTGATCACAGCCAGATCAATCTTCTCATTAAAGGGGAAAACAGCAAATCAAGGGAAATTCATAAAAAGCCAATTCATCTACATAAACTCAAAACACCATATAGATGGACTCGTAGTGCTGCTGAAACATATATTAAAGTATTGAAGTCAAATGAAATAGTCAATTCCATAACACTGTTTAACAATTCAACATATGATAATAATTGGAAAGGAATAAATTTAGCAACTAAACATATTAATGACGTTTTTGAAAATATAGCAAAAAAGGCTAATTTAAATGAAACTACCACATATAAACACAAAAATAGAGCTAAACAAAAACTTTCTGAAAAGTGGTTTGACCACGACTGTAATACAATAAGACAAGAGCTACGATTCATTTCAAATCAAAAACACAAAGATCCAGTCAACTCAGAATTACGCTTAAAGCACTCAGAACTTCTGAAACATTACAAAAACACACTGAGACAGAAGAAATTGGATTATTATAACAACACACTTCAGAAGATGGAAAACACAATTGATCAGGGTCAGTTCTGGAGCATGTGGAACAGTCTAAACAATACAAAGCCACAAGAACTAGCTATACAAGATGGTCAAATTTGGAAAGATTATTTTGAGAAGCTCTATACACATTTTAACTAAATACCGCCATGATTGGGCCTTAGACGTCAACATCCCAAAAACTAAGATTATGATATTTCAGAAAAAACCCAGAAATCTAGAACATAAACATATATTTACTTTAAACAACACCACACTTCAACATGCGTTACAATATAATTATCTTGGTCTGGTTTTAACTCCCACTGGAAATGTCAAATTGGCAATTAAAACATTACTTACAAAAGCCCGCAGGGCACTGCAAGCCATACGAATGAAATTATTTAAAATAAACATCCCCATCAGAATTTGGACAAAGATTTTGGATAGTGTCATACTGCCTATTGCCCTGTATGGAAGCGAGATCTGGGGCCCAGCGAGTAACTACAGTCATAAGGACTGGCACAAGCACCCTTTAGAAGCTCTGCATGTAGAGTTCTGCAGAAGCATCCTTCATGTGCACAGAAACACACCTAATAACGCCTGCAGAGCCGAGTTAGGCCGGCTCCCCCTGAATCTAATCATTAAAAAAAGAGTTCTAAAGTTCTGGATCCACTTAAACTCTAGTTCGGAAGATTCTCTTCATTTTAAAGCACTAAAAACACAAAAAAGGAGTGCTCAAAAAAGTCATCTCTGTGTAATGGTGTCAGATCTGACTAACAAAGCACTCGATATCACCAACCCTGAAAAACATGGAAGAATCAAAGAAATTATGAATGAAGAGAAGGAGACATACATACAGCATTGGAAAGAACAAACCAAAGACCAAAGTCGTCTCCAATGTTATCTGAAACTCAACAGAGAGTACAGTCTGGCTGACTATCTGGTCTCAGTCAGGAATATAACACACAGACATTTACTGACCAAGTACAGACTGAGTGACCACCAGCTGGCCATAGAGAGCACCAACCCTGAAAAACATTATGGAAGAATAAAAGAAATTAATGAAGAGAAGGAGACATACATACAGCACTGGAAAGAACAAATCAAAGACCAAAGTCGTCTCCAATGTTATCTGAAACTCAACAGAGAGTACAGTCTGGCTGACTATCTGGTCTCAGTCAGGAATATAACACACAGACATTTACTGACCAAGTACAGACTGAGTGACCACCAGCTGGCCATAGAGAGAGGACGACATAAAAAGATGTGGTTACCTAAAGAAGAGCGATTCTGTAATGAATGTAGATCAGGATCAGTTGAGACGGAGGAACATTTCCTCCTTCACTGTGACAAATACACATCCTTTAAGAGACTCACTGTACAGTCAAATACAGCAGAACATTCCTGAGTTCCAGTCACTCCATGAAAAAGACAAATTAAGAATAGTACTTGGTGAAGGACCTACTTCCTCTTTGGTAGCACATCATATTTATAAATGCCACAAACTAAGAATTAAAGAGTGAACACATCTGCATTAGTAGTACCATCAATGTTTATATAAATGTATATATGGATGTATTTTACATGTATTTCTGTTTTGTTTGTTTATGGATGTATATTATATGTATTTAGTTTTGTTTGTTTTTATTCTGCTATGTACAATGCTTTGGCAATATGTAAGTATGTCATGCCAAT